CAGACTATTTCACGACGAAACATTTTTTTCATCCTGTTATGTTCCAAACATGAAAAATAAGCCATTGTTATATTTTGGCAGCAGCCATATACAGAAGTTCAATTGCAGAGACTGAGAGATGAGACTAAACTATTTGCAGTCCATATACCTTCAGATAAACGAGAAATCTATTGTTTCAGACAATCCAAACTACACTTGGTGAAGTCTCCTGTGTATAGATAAAACTATTGACAAATTCTCTCCAGAGTTTATCAATAACATCTTATTATATTACCTGAAATAGGGGTGCCAAGGGGAGAGAAAATATCTTTAAACTTCAATATACAAAATACTATTTCAGTTATCATATTTCTCTTCTGCAAAGAGGAAGGATCAGAAATGTTAAATAATCACGGAGGGAAAAGTCTAATAGATGTTTTTGTTCCTAAGATTAGAGGAAGCCTGAAAAACTTTAAACACTAGAATAGTCAGGAATACCAATCACTTCCTTGTAACTTGAAGGCCAATTCCATGATCTGTAACACCGATACAATACAAAAATACCCGCAATTTGTGAATCATAGTGACTTAAGGAAATCATTTGTGCAATAGTACCAGGAAGTAGTTTTTTGGTGGACTTTCCAGTCTTTTATTATGGAAATATTGCAGATTAAGGGTTAAGGACATGTGATTCCATTCCAGATTGCTGGGGAAACAGCCAAACTACCCTGCATAAACTAGGATAACACTTGCCAATGCAATCCATCCACTTTAAGACTTGCTTCAGCACTAAAGCAAGTTCGTACTTACATATGAAGGGAATAATTTTACAACTGTTAAAAACTCAGCAAGTAACATTCCTGACCTTATTGCCAGTAACTAAATTCGTGGCATCAGTGGCAACTTATGATTTTGAAAGCAGTCACCAATTTTAAAAATGATTTCTAAGAAACTATCTTTTAACTCAGGCAACATAAAAGCCTTTTACATTATATCACTATTAAAAGTACAGAGTTGGCATAAATGACTACGTGCACAGCCCCGGCACACACCTGCATGAGCAGACACTCACGTTTTTATCACAATAGCTGGGCAAAATATTCTCCAGAAGCAATTACGAAATAGCAAACAGCTCCTGGGCTGTGGACACTTGTCTGGGGAATGAGGTTAAAGTCACAAGAAACAGCTGGGCGCTAGGTCTCAGTAATGTTTGCAAGCCTTTGAAGAGGAACTTAACAGCTCCTGACATGACAGACATCACCTGAATTCAAAAATAAATGTTTTTATTAAGTTCTCTCCCCACCAAATTTAAAGTACTAACAAAGTCTGATGTGAACTTTCAAAAAACAATTTTTCGTCCAAGAGAAGGTTTTATGACAAAAAAAAAGTCCTGCTCTGTCTGGACATCGTCCTTACCTCACCTGAGGTCCCTAAGGTTTAGTGTGCCAAGTTTCATCGGTTACCTAGCTTCAAAGGAGTTACCAGAGGAAATGTAGTTGGTATACAACAGTAGTCAGCCCTGGTACGAGACCTGTGGAAAAACTCTAGGACCAGTTGTTCTATTTAGGTTCATGTTTGAAAAACTGGGAGGGGTTTCAGAGAATAGACTGAACGATAGAACTATAGTTCGCAACGGTAGTTCGTGTGTAATTGTATTTCAAACTCCTAAGGATGACCTGCCAATAAAGTAGACACCATTTGTATTCTAAATGCCTGCATGTTTAGCTGTGTATTCCTGTGGAGCCTACAAAATCAGAATTTAATCTTACAGGTAGAAATAAATTCCCATTTATTTGGGATTACTGATTTCAAGTAACCTAGATTACATTATTTCCAGTGTGAACATGTTTACATTTACATAAAAAAAAACACACCACTATATGGCAAGTTACTTAACTGTGTAAAGAAAAACCATGTTATCCTCTACAACCAACGAATTTTCAAGGCTTTATCGTAGGGGGTAGTGGAATAATCTACACTCTAGTAATGCTTTTTTTTTCATTTACGTTCTTAGAATTTATTCTGAAACAAATTTGAAAATGAGGAATCCAAAACTGAGCATTTCAAATTTTGATAATAAAAATTTAAACATACCTTTTGTTGAATTCCAGCTTAAGTGTTTTTTTTTAATGTAAATCTTGCAGCTGATGAAAAGCAAAAAGCAACCAATCTTTCTGCAGTGATTAGCCTGTTCTTTAGTAGGACTATGTGTCAACCTGCCCCAGGATGTTGTAATTGAACAAGGAATCCATGGGGCAAAATAACTGTTTTTCAAAGATGGGTCAGAAGGGAACAACATTTATATCTTCACTTCAACTGGGAAGCAATGAAATGTAATCCTTTGAGATATCACTTTTGGTAGATGTTACCTTTGTCTTTTATCCTCATTTCATGCGTTTAGCCTGGGAATATGTCCATGTTTTGACTTTAGATTTTTTAAAAAAACTTGTTACCCCTGTGTTTCCTGTAACACCTAAATATGCAAACACAGATCATCTCCACTCCTTATCAAATAAATGTTCTTCAGCATGACCAGTGTGCAACTGACGTTCACATAGCTTATAGGCCCTAAGTCTTGAGAAATATATTTCTTTAGCTGAACCTCTATAATCAGGACAAGAGATTGATTAAAATGCCAAGATAAGAAACAATTTATTATAGAGAGAAGAAAAATTTCTCATCCAAAATATAGAAATCTGTACAACTTTGCCACAATCAATATACATGAACTGTACAAATTTACACCAGTTCATAATTTACCAAATAAAAGATGACTAACAAAGTTCACAAAATAGATGGTGGTTTGTGGAAAAGACTTTTACCCAATTAAGTACAAGGAAAGTTACAAACCAGACCTTCACTTTCTAAAAATAAGAAGTTTACTTAGTCTTAGAAAACTACAAGCTAGCTAATGTACAGAGAGCTGGCTGGTGCTAACACCACAGTTGAGACAGTGTCTTTTTAAGGGTCTTAATTTTTAAAGCCTGTTGCCATGGCAAATTCTGGTCACTTGCTACTTTCAAGGCCAAAAACACAATACAAGGTCTGACCATTTCCCCAGGTCATGCTTACTAGGTTTGTCTTATGTACATTTATACATATTTAAGTGCTAGGTAAAAGTCTTGTCATAAAATTTCCAGTACTACCATGTTCAAAATGTTGAGCTTTCCTATTGAGCTGCCAAAAAGTTAACCATTTTCAAGTGTATTAGTGCAAATTTCCTCTGCGAGATCTACTGCAGAGAAAGGTTCTTTGAAATACAGATTTGCATTAAAGGGATTGACGTAAAAATTTAGGTATGTCTGGGAGAAACTGAAACCACCCTAGGACTTCACTCCCTAGCAAATAAAGTGATTTACTTGGACTCACAGGCTATTAAATCATTGAAAGGTACTGTCCAAACTATGGCACTGTCACTTAAAATTTTTTTTACCACTCTATCTTGTGCCAGATCTTCACAGCTGTCACATGGTTTAAATTCCATAATCCATCCCCAAGAGGAGCCCACCCAAAGCAAAAATCAAATTTATCCATCCATTATAAGATGATCCATCCATAGACTATATCTTAACCTGATACAGTCATCATATTGTAGTTTTTGGAAGGGCTTGTTCTGCCCAAGAGAAGTTCCTCCTTACAGCTGATTCTGCTGTCTACCATTTGCATGTTGGTGCTGTTTTGAGTGCTACCTCCTGCTGGTGAGGCTTCGTACAGCACACAGATGGAGCCATCCTCCCCAATTCTGTAGGACACTTCGTAGGGGTCAACCCAGAGTGTGAGTTCACTTGGGAGAAGCCTGAACAGCTCCTGACTGCTCAGTCCAATCCGCTGTGCTGCCTGTCCAATCAGAGGATCCATTTTATGGTTGATGCGAATACAACGGTAACCTGATCCCTTGCACGGCTTTTCTGGGAACCAGTGATGTTTATAATGTTCTATAAAAGAAAAGAACAGAGAAACAATGCTTAGTTGGTTACTGTTAGCTCCTGCTGGAGTTTCCTTTTTCCGCTAGTTCCTCCGAGAGGTGAAAATGAAACCTATCAACTTTTAAAAATGCCCAGCATTACAGTCGCTGCGTGTGGGGATGGAGCAAGATCCGGCAGGTTTTCTGAAACAACACAGTAGTATAGGACAAAACAATCTCCAGGAACCAACCGGTTGAGCCGCCAAAAACAGTCATCACGCGCGCTGCCTCGGCCAGCCAGATGGCACCGGCGGCCAGGCGGGAACCTGTTTACTTTCTCCACCCCACCCCAGCCGCACACAATGGGGTTTATGGCTTTGGAGTAGAGAAGCACCACTGGACTGTTACCCCGAAGGGAAGAAAAACAAGCAACCCTAAACCACGCTCTGGGCAGGGCTGTAATTGTACCGGTGACAAATCCGATGATTAATGGGCTGGGATAGGAGGCGCGGGGTGACTGCACGTCCGTCCCGGCCTGGCTCCAGGGCAGCGGCTCGGTTTCCCATTCCTGGGCCCGGCCGCCGAGCCCGCAACGGTTGGAGGGGGTTGGGGGGAGGGGGCGTGGAACCAACCACCCCAGTCCCGCGGCTCCTTTGTCCCCAGATCCGCGGACGGACCGGGGACTGCAACTCCCGCCGTGGTTGGCTTTAGTTTCTTTGTTGTGCGTCTGTTTTCTTCTCCCCTCCGTTTGCCAGTTGTGGGGGGAAGGGGGCGCCCTCCGCCCAGCCCCCAAACCCTCGCCGGGACCCGCCGTTAGCGGCCGCCCAGCGCACCAGCCCGGGTCCCGTAGTGGCACTAGAGTGCGGCCGGCCGTGGCGCTGCCGAGAATCCCGCGGCCCCGACGGCCCGGTCCGGGGTACGGGGTCCGCATACCTCAGGCGCCCCTCGCCCTCCCTCCGCGGCCCACTCACCTGCCAGTAGCTCCTGCAGGCTCTGGCTGAAGGTCTGCAGCTGTCGCTCGCTCGTGAGCCCCTTAGTGCGGAGGAACTTGGAGATGAAAGACACGGCGGCGGCGATCTCGCCTATCATGGTGGCAGCCCGAGTGTAGAAGGGATGCATGGGGGCGGCGGGCGGGGGCGGCCCGGGGCTGCCCGGGCTCGGCGGTGCGGCCCCGACGGCGGAGCGGCCACCCCGGGCTCTCTCACAGGTCAGGGGGCTGGGAGGAAGAGAAGGCGTGAGGGGCAGACGGCTACTTTTTTTCTTTAAGTAAAAAAGTTATTTTCGAGACAGGAGGCGGCAGGAGAGAGAAAGAGACCAGCGATGGCGGCCTGGTCACATCGCTCGGACCTCCCCAGCCGCCTCCGCCTCCAGTTCCGCAGGCTCCGAAGCTCCCAACAGTTGCATTTCCAGCTCCGAGGGGCGAAGAGATGCAGGAACCGTGCAGCACTTTTTATACCGCCGCGGAAAGGAAGTGCGTAACTGGAGCGTGACGGCCAACTCCAGCCAATCCAGAGATCGCACCATTGTGACGTAAGCAGATTCGGAGCCGGAGGGGGCGGGAAAAGAGCCAGTGGGCGGGTCCAGAGACCGGGAAGAGAGGGAGGAGCTGACGTAATCCGCTTGTAAACAAATAAACCCCGGAGTGGCGGCTGGAGACCAGTGGCGGAGACGAAGGAAACCGAGGGTGCGCGTGTGAAAGCCCCGCCCCCAGTTCTAGCTCCTCCCTTGTCACTTCAGCTACTCGAGGCCCAGCGCCTGTGCGTCCTCTGCGAGCGTCTGCTGCCGGGGCTCGCCTGCAAGGAGGCTTAGTGCTGTGCAGATTAAAACCTATCTGCTCAGGCTGTCTACACGCGCGCCGGCTGCTTGGGTCGAGCTGCACATCCGCAGCGTCGATCCCCTCGCGTACTCCCGTGTTTACATCCAGTCCCAGTTCCAGGTCTACGTGGCTGGCTCCCGGAGCTGGAGGAGCGGGCGAGCGGGTGCCCGAGCTGAAGGTGCTGGGGACGCCCATCGAGGGTGCAGAGAAAAGTGGAGGGAACAGGCTCTCGCAGGGCATTCTGCAGCCTCAGGAAGCCCAGGTCTCCTCGCAGAAGTGCAACCAATACTACGGGGCAGTTTCTGCCCACCCTTGGGGAAGAGTGGGGAGGGTGTCTTTGTAAAAGTTTAATTGCAAATTAAGTAAATAAAAGGTTAGTTAGCTTTGTTTGGTGGTGGTTTCAGTAACTTAGGGAGTCAAGGAGAAGAGTGGACACCTTCCTGAATCCACCTTAGTGCTGCTAAAAAAGCCTGTTACTGAAGATAAATATAGCAACGTGGATCCTGTAAACTAGTCTATATTGAAAAAAAAGAACTGCGTAATGTAACTTACACCGTTTATACACAAAAAAACAAAGATTGCTGTTTTCTACTCTAAATAACTGTCCGAACCTTAGAGTTCTGCTGCTGTTTAATAAAAAGAAGAAAATAAAGATAAAATCTGAAGTGTGTGAAAGTATTAGGCGTAGACATTTAAGTTTACTGGAAACCCTGCTTTCAAAACTAGAAAAAAAAACATTGGTAGGGAGGCTTGAGCCTGCTAAAACAATTAGACTTAAAAAAGGGTTAACCAGAACTCCATTAAAGGAGGGGAAAAAAAAGATGGTGAGGCAGGCAGATGGAGAAAGCAAACAGGAGGCAGAAGTTGAACTCTACCAGATGGAAATAAATATCCTGAGCTTAGTTGATCATCAATATTGCAAAACACACCACTTTGAGTTTTTTCTCTTTTTTTAATACTGAGCCAAAGGGCATAGAAATGAAGCAAAAAGTGAGACTTCTTATAAAATGGGAGGAGGAAAAGAAAAAGTTTGATTTTTTACTTAAACTGTAAAACTGGCTTTGAAAGAATAACTTCTAGGTTACTGTTTCGTTCATACACAATAATTAGGTAGTTACATGTGAAATAACTTAAGTACTTTAAAAATACTAATGTTAAAAACATTGATTTGTGAAAGTATTAATTTTCTTTGTATAAATTCATCAAAAATCATGGTAAATAAGATACATTTGTTCCCTCTTAGGGCTTTTCAGATAGAATCATGCTTTAAAAATAAGCATCATGGTAATTACTTAACTGGGGACTTGAAACCTTTTTTACTACTCAGAAAGGAGATAGGGAAACAGAAGTAAATCCTTAAAATTACCATAGCCCTAGAACAAGATCTTCTGATATGTCTCCTAACACTACCCACTCTTAATCATCTGCTTTGTTCATGTTCCTCACATTATCAGTCTTTTGAGCATTAGATTAGAAATCAGGTGAAAGTTTTTCTCCTCTAAGCTGTTCTCCACTTGGACTCCCAGTAATTCTGAGATTAAATTGACTCATCTACAAAACAGAAATAATGAAGCTAACAAAATGCTAGGATTTGAACTCAGGCTTGTCTTTCAAGCCCATATTCTCTCCACTACTTTTAACCACCTTCCCAGGCAGCAGCTGGACCCCTTCTAGAAAGCTTTTTAAAATTAGTTGAGTAGAGTTAACAAAAAGTTTAACTCACATATCCCTGAAGGGTTTCCCCCCATTGTTTCTTTTATTGTATGTGTGTGTTTCCCACCTTAATTCATTCCTTTAAGAGACAAATGGATTTAAGAAATTACTCTTTTACTTGGGGGATCTAGGGAACACTTGGGAAAAAAAGTAAATAAATAAATATTGGCCCTAAATGCAAACTTTAGATAGTATACAATGTTAATTGCTAATAGTTTTCAATTCTGGACATACCTATGTTTAGTAATATCTTTCCAGAAGTTTAGTCAGGTTCTTCCCTTCCAAGAAACAAGCTGGTATTTTTTGACAGCTTTTGGATTATAAAGACTTTTCTCATGTTGTAGTTATGCTAAACTGCAGGGCAGTCCCAACTATTTACAAACTCAGCTCTTGGCTTTGTGTCCTTAAGCAAGTTACTTAACCTCTCTGCATCGTAATCTAAGAAATGCAAAGGCTGTTGTGAGGACTCAATGGAATAACAACAGAAACTATTTAGCACTGTCTCCAGCACTAAGTAAATACTCAAATACATATACAGAGGCTGCCCAAAAAAATGTATACACATTTTAAAAAAGGAAAAAGCTGTATTAATTGTAATAATATATACTGATAACAAAAGATGAATACAAGTCACATTTGACTTCTGCAATTACAAGAAGTGCTCAAAGTGGTTACCATCAGCGTCCAGACACTTCTGATTACAGCAAAATACTGCTTGAGCATAGATAACATCTCTTAAAATGTGTATACATTTTTTTGGCACCCCTGGTATATATTAGCTGGCTTATATTATCAGGCAACTTGATAATATATATTATTATGAAATTAATTTCTAAAACCTAGGACGTTTTCAATCAAAGCACTAAAAACAAATCTCAGGAATTCTGTCCAAACAAATCCAGAAAATGAACCTGGATTTTAAAATAAGTTTACAAGTAAAAACACACAGGTCAGGTCTTTGGAAACAATGCTGAAGAGTTCAGAAAGTACTTTCCTAGAGGTAGGACAACTAACTAGCATTTCAAAGAGCTGGGGATTTATATTCCTGTCTCAGCTCCAGTGTTACTGGAACAGTTTGCTGTGGACTAACAAATCAGGGTTCCCTGTAGACCTTTTGAACCAGAAAGAGCAAGAGAAAAATAAACATTTATATAAGGTAGGGAAATGAACTTCTTTTTCTGCCTCATAAACCAGTAAAATTTAGGGATCAACACAAGGTTGAAACTTTTGTTTTGCCAAATATTTTTTTAATCACATTACCATCTGTTATCTCAATCATTTTGGGGAAAAGATGGCATTTTAACATCCCCAAAATAGGAAAGGTATGCATATCAGAATAAAGCATGATCTTCGTAATTATAGTAATTAAAGTCACTGAATGTCTTTTTTTGCATTTCATCATGACCCCACATTTGGGAACTTATCTAAACTATTCATCTATGAATATGATAGCACTACAGTAAGCTATTATACCATTCATTTTATATGCTATTCCCACTGCCTGGGATACCTGTTCACTTTCCCCTTTACCTAGCTAGTTTCTGCTCATCCTCCAAGCAGCCTTCTCTGACCTCTGGGTAAATGTCTACAGTATTCTGCTTTTCCTTGTCCTGGCTCTGGTACTTATCAGACATACTGGATTTACTATGTTTTCTAGTCTCCCTTCCTTTCTAATCTGTAAATTCTCTGAGAGCAGGCATCTTATGTCTTTCACTATTGTGCTCCTAACTAAGAGTCCAGCGCATAGTAAATGCTGTGTAATGATGTTAAATAGACATATCTAAATACAAATGAGTCAAAATAAAAACATTACTTAGAATTTGTTAGGTGAAAAATAATACAGAGTTTTTGCTGCTTAAAATCAGTCAATATTTGAGGTGAGAAGAAAAATGAACTCTGTGACACTTTTTTTCCTGGCTGCCATAAGGGTTAGATTATTGTATTAATTGCTTTGGTAGATTATCATTGTTTTAAAATAGACTGCATTTCCAAAGCAAATGAAACGGAGACTAAAGTCACTTAGATGTGTTGCTCAGGAATATTATGGTAACATCCACATTGCCTCCATTTTAAGGTTTTTTTGCTTTGTTTCCCTAATGCTACATAGACACGTTTTTGTATTTTTACCCCAGGTTCTGCATGGGTGTGATTTGCTTGTTTGCTGCTCCCTGGTATCACCATTCTATCCTGAAGTTGTTCATGAGGTGACCTTCCCATGCTCTAGTCTCTCACTTCAATCATGTGATCCAGGATTCCTGGATTATCGTTAGGAAAATCCCAGAATTTTTTAAATGGCTGTGTTGCAGCTCACAAGTTTATCCGGAAGACCTCTCCCAACCTCCCTACATTCCACCTAGCTAAGGTTTTGTTCCCTATCTGGACCCTCCCCTCCCCTGAAGGCACATTTAGGCCCTTTGACTTCCAGACTTAGCTGGAGGCAGCTGATTGTTGCCAGTCAGCTAACTGCTTTCACTAAAGTTGTATTTATGGTGAATTTATTTCCAAATAGAGTTCTAGGTGTCCATGGTGCTTTCTTTGGAAAACTCACACCTTAACCAACAAGTACAGGGTAGAGCAGGAGACATCTTTACAGAGTGTTCATAGCAAAGAGAGACTAGGTGTTTGTTTTTGCTTGTGTTTGGGAGTATTAGGAGATAAGGAAGCCTGCAAAGTGAAGGATCTTTGTTAAACTAATGAAGTTGGCCCATAATTAATTCTCTTTGAAAAGGAGGAAAAAGAGGAGCCTGACCTTGGAATATCTTAAAGGCTTAACCCAATAGAAAGAAGATAAATCTTGCTGAAAAAACTGGTGGGTGGAAGGGGGCAAACAGCGGCTGAGGGGTATTTTTAGCAGAGAAGTGATATGATCAGATTTATTTTTTAGAAAGCCCTGAGGTTGATGAGTTAAAGAGGAGTGATGTTGAAGAGACTTCTGTATTTGTCTCCAATTTTTATTTAAATCTTTAAATAATTTAGCTTTTCATGTGGGCTCATCTCTTCACCTAGAGTCCTATGCTTTCTATTTATTGTTTTTTTGGTTACCCACAAGAAGGAGACCACTTCTAGCAGCCTCTCCATCTGGCAACCTGCCTGGCTTAGGTATGAATCCAAGGGCACAAACTGAGGCATTTGTGCTAGGTTTAGATCCACTGGGGTTCAGAAAACACAAGAGTACTAGAACTAAGAGGGTGACACATACAGATTTGGGACTGAACTGTTTCTTTTTGTTAAAGCAATTCAGATCTTTTGGAGAGAATGGGAGGACAAAGGATTAAAGAGTTGCCTAACAATGATCATAGAGATTAACATCATTGGCGGTGCCTCAGGCATCGCGCTAGATGTTTTAGAGGCATTCCCATTTAATTCTCCAAAAAATACCACCAGATAACTATAATCGACAGCATTTAATATGTGAGGTTTCAATCCTAGAGGAAATTTATAATTTACCCAAGGTCTTGACAACCAGATTTGAACTCTCAAGTCATGGATGGCAAAGCTGGGGGGTGTGCTCCTCTGGATACTTACTATCTTTTATAAAAGGGGCTTTGAGATAGAAATAAAACCCAGAAAGTTTGAAGGCCGTTTGGAGATGAGTAGAGATAGTAAAGGAAAAAAGGAAAACTCAAGGCAGCTGAGGAAATTTCTCATGGCTGACATACCCTGGAAGATACAGCTATATTTATTCAAAGGCTCACTGAAAAATGAATCAAAGGATATATTAAAACATTAACTTGCCAAATAAAATAATTTCTCTGGAATGAAGATTACCCCTAGGGGCACAGAAAAGAGAAAGCAGCAAAAACCGCCTTCTGTTTTAGACTACTGAAGCATCTCACTTCTCCTTTGGCCTAAATTGGCAGAAGGAACCGGGGAGCACGTCAGCCCAACAGTCGCTCTTTCCCAGCAACAGAGCAGAGCTGTGCCCTCTGAGAGCTCAGGTGGAGCAGGCTGGAGGAGAGCAAGAAGGGCTGGTTTTGGAGAAATGTCTATTCAAGTCCTCTGCCCGTTTTTTAATTGGATTGTTTGGGTTTTTTTTATTGTTCAGTTGTATGGGTTCCATATATATTTTTGATCTTAGCCCCTTGTTTGAGGCATTGTTTGCAAATATCTTCTCACTTTTGGTTGGCTGCCTCTGTATTTTGTTGATTGTTTCTTTTGCCGTGCAGAAGCTTTTTAGTTTGATACAGTAGCATTCATTTATTTTAGCTTTTACTTACCTTGCATTTGAGGTCAAATTCATAAACTCTTCTTTGAACCCAAGGTCCTTGGGTACCTCTTTTCTTCTATGCAGTTTATTGGTTCAGGTCTTATGTTCAGGTCTTTGATCCATTTTGAGTTAATTTTGGTACATCGTGACAGATAGCAGTCTAGTTTTATTCTTTTGTACGTGGCTTTCCAATTCTCTCTCC